TTACACTGATATTTAAAAAGTCCGGAATTTCTTTAAAATCAAAGTGGGGTGTTACAGAATTAATTAAAATTATGATTCCTAACAAGTTGTATCAATTACGATTGTATCAAAGTAGTTGAATGGTTAAATAGGATTGTACTACATTAAGTAGTTGTATCAACTACTAGAGGAGTAGTGTTTGATGATAAACCTATTATTTAATAAGCAAAATTACAACATAAAAATTTTAATGTAAAAATGAATAAAAAAAATATTGTATTACAATGAAAATCTAACGGTATGGTATTCCACTGAAATTTTCAATGGATATTTTATTGGTAGAGCTTTTATTGAAAACTTTCATTGTCTATTCCAATTACTATTATTTATTTTTGTGTGAATTTCCTTTGAAATTTTTTCCATATTTCAACCATTGAAAAAACTATCAATTGAATTACGGAAAATTCAATGTAAGTGTCATTAGAAATATTGTATGAGAATTGACAATTTATTTATAATGAAATATTGTATGAGAAGTGGATAAGAAAAAACTTAAATAATAAATAAATAATTAAATAATTGTTAACTATCATAATTTTAATAAGTATTTTAAATATCATTCATTTTATTTATTAACATCTAAAATAGTTCCTACACTATTAATCATAAATTCATCATTTTAATGGTACTATTTATCATTTTAATCATAAATATTTCATGAATATTTAGGATTGTGCATACAAACATTTGAGAATATTTTTGTGACTTAATAAATAGAGAATAAGATAAAGAATACTATTCATGAAAGATTAATTAATAACTATAACTACAAAATAAATAAGATAATGTATTGTATCAGAATAAGTTAAATTATTGGGTTATCATGCGACGTGTGATTAATATTATGCGATGAATCATTAATTACGAAAAAACAGACAATGATCCTTATTGCTTCTTTATTAAATGATTCGACACTTTAACAGACATGTGGTTATTTTTTATAGATCAAGAAATATCTATATCTATACTAATATAAAAGGAGGAATGATTTTGTAAAATATTGCACGGACTAAAATTCGTCGTTATATTTGTATTATTTGTAATGAAAAAATTGTAATAACCATTAAGTGTCTAAATTAAGATAATCACGATTAAATATTTCAATAAATAGGATTCTAACAAGGACAAAACTCTTTAAAAAATAAAACGTAAACAAAATAGATTTAAGTAGGTAAAAAAAGTATTAACTTATCAATAAATGAGAAATTAATAAAGGAAATGCAAAACTATTTCAATATCAATAAATGAGAAATTAATAAAGGAAATGCAAAACTATTTCAATAAGATTGAATTGATATAACATTCTAAAATATATTTGGAACAAATAAAAATGTAGGAGATGTACTATCCTCAATTTCACAACATACATTATTAAGTATGAAGTATTATAGTATAAATTTGTTACAATTTTAAATTTATATATTTTCATATTACTATTTACATAACTACATGTCATAATAAACAAATTTGATATAAAATAATTATATAAATTTACATGAAAAAAAATAACATGACATATAAAACTACTCAAATGTTTTATTCGAAAAATAAAGTATCAAGTAGGATAGATGAAAAAATAAATAATAAAAAAAACACATGATATATATGTAATTGGACATGAATTTATGAACATAATATTAATTATTAAAATATAAAAAGAATAATATTATTCTATTTTTACTATTTTAATTTATATATAGATTTAATTGCATTGTAATATATTTTCGTTGAAACTTTCCAGTGAAATTTCATCATTTTTTGTAGTAAAAGTAGAGTTGTAAATCAATAAATAAATTTACGTTAATATAATATTGCGTGCAACTAATTATTATGAAAATTATTGATAATGATAGAAAATACAACACATTTAATGTAATTTTCATTTAATTTATGATAATGAGTGACATTTTCAAAACGGACAAGATACATCTAGGTTGAAAAAGTCTTTAATTATTTTAGTAGTATTATGGTAACTAAACAAGAGGTAAGAATGGTGTTCTATGTAATAAAAATGTTTTTTTTTTTTTTCCAAACGATAGAAATATTACTCATAAACCAAAAAACGTTCAATACAATAAGCCGGAGCTGAGAGCATCACACAAGGTGAGCTAGAACACACACAACACCCCCGACTAACAAATGAAACCAAAGCAGTTACCCTCAACTGAACCTTTGATCCCACCAAGCAAACCACACAACCAAATCTAAACCCCAAAAACAACTCACATCAAAACAAAGACCACAACCCTAAGAGAAAAAGAAAACAGACAAACTAAAGACCTAACATCGGTTACCCTGCTGAAAAGCATCACAATCCCTCATGGCAGCTCTGATAACCATATGTGCAGGTCTTCTAACAT